AAAAGAGAATTCGTAGATGTCAAAGGAACTTCGCAGTCAGATTATGAAACGAAAATGAAAATATAGCAAATATAAATCTACTAGTGATAAAAATACGTATGCAAAGCTGAAAAAATAGTCAAGCTGAATTTAAGCAAAAGGCAAAAATAGCCAAGAGTGGCTTTCTTGACTCTCTCGATGGCGAGGTCAAAACAACTCCAAAGCAAATGTGGATTATCAAATTCACAAAATTCAAAAGCGTGCCGCTAGATTTATACCAAATAACTACAATTTTCATAATTTGTCTCCAAAAGAAAACATAATTTGGGGTGGAAGTTTCTTGCTGGTTAGACGTACATGTGTGCGTATTAACGCTTTTCACGGTATTGTCTATAGTGTGTCCAAAATAGAAAAATCACATTACCTGTTAGAGCCATTTCATGTATCGCGCAGAGTAGGTATTGACAAGAGAGTTTAGGAATACACCTCAAAGTCTGATATGCATCGCCACTCGTTTTTATCCGCGAAAAAAAAAAAAAAAAACTGAATAGCCTGCCGAGAGAGATTGTGACCTTGAAAAATCCAGATTCGGTTTTTTTCACAACTGCAGTATTGTTTGTGAATAGTTTGACAGATATTGTATCAACGTGTTTGTGTTCTTTTTCATGCGAATCAAGTCTGCTTCTTTTATGCATGTACGTCATATCCGCGCGTGAGCTTCTATATATATTACATTGTGTAACTTGTGTGTCTTGATGACCTATGATGCATTCAAATATATATATATATATATATATAGGGTGTTTCAGAACTCAGGCTAAATCGCTCCTGCGAAAAAAACTCATCGCAGTGAAAAAAGGCGTGTGGCGTTTTGGTCCTTGGCCAGAGGTCCATTTAGGAAAATTATTCAAATTCGAGATAATTAAGTTGTTAATTATTTTTGCGTAACTTTTTTCAATATTGTGTTTCAGGGCATGGTTTTAATTAGAAAATTGCTCAGCGTCATCGAAAAACACTGAATCAACAAATTGCAGAACGATAGAAGGCACGCGAAGCATTTTACGGCTTTATGAAAAACCGCACAAAATCGACGGGTTTTTAAGTTTCACTTTGCTATCGGAGCGGATCTCAGCCCCGGCGGCACTGCGCCCCATGGAGAGATAGTGCAACCAACCTCTGCTGCGCTGTCATCGCTCGACGCAGCAGAGGCTGGTTGCGCTATCTCTCCACGGAACGGGGTGCCGCCGGGACTTAGATGCGCTCTTATAGCAAACCGAAACTTAAAACCTGTCGATTCTTTGCGGTTTTTCAGAAAGCCGTAAAATGCTTCGGGTGCCTCCCATCGTTCTGCACTTTGTTGATTTAGTGTTTTTCGATGATGATGAGCAATTTTCTAATTAAAACCATGCCCTGAAACACAATATTAAAGAAGTTAATTACGCAAAAATAATTAACTAACAACTTAATTGTCCCGCACTTTAATAATTTTCCTAAATGGGTCCTTGGCCCAGGATTAAAACGCCACAAGGTGTTTTTCGTTGCGATGAGTAGTTTTCGCAGGAGCGATTTTGCCTGCGTTCTCTGAAAAACCCTGTATATATATATATATATATATATATATGTGTGTGCACTTATTTTGTTACCCCTCTTACTGTAATGATCGTCAAGGCGCTGTTGGAAATATATAAATGAAAAAATTACATCGGTCTTTATTTTATTTTTGGTAGGGGGAGGGCAGAATTTGGATATTGGCTTAAAACTCGATATGTTTAATAACAGACAAAAAAAAAAAACGCGTTTCTCGGACATAGGGTATAAAAACGTTGCTTACGGTGACGATTGCGAATAGTGTGGCAATCCTGTTTATCCGAGGGAAAGATCAGAAGTTCACAATGCGCTCGCATAGCTCCGATCGCCGCTCAAGGTGTGCAAGTACACGGTAGCCTATTGTTTAAACTACTGACTCCTGTGCAGCAGAACGCTGTCCCTGATTGTAGTTCTTGGCGACGTCAACTCTAATTTTTTGGTAGGGTTGGACATAGGCCTGCTTTCCGAAATACCTCTGAATGTGGTAGTAGGTTGAGATGACTAAACGTAGACTGTGTTAAGGTATTTTTAGAAGTTCCGATGTTTTACTCCTATGGATACTCTCAGTATTATGCTGGCACTTCTATAGTCATTGACGAGCTAGGAGCTCAGCTCCCAATGCTCCTCAAAGGGATTAAAAATACTCTGCCAGCCAATGCCTTCCCCTTATTCCTTTGGCGACAATGACATCAACATTGGGCATCTTTTCTCAACATGGCAGCGAGCGTGTTTGGCGACGCCGACGCCGATGAATGCTGGGTTGTCGCAGGGATTATCCAAAACTTTACCTAGCCGGGTCCACGTCGCAAACCCTTGCCGGCGCCCGCTTTTGTCTGTAGCAGTTTATGTTCGACGACGTGACGATCCAATGGACGTGTCGCCGTCAAAGTGTTCAGTGCGCCCAGTTCGTTGAGCCATTCGCCTAGCAACCACCGAGAGTACTGACTGCACTCTCCGTGAGCACCAAGGGCCTCTTTCCGTGGGTTGGCTGCTGTGAGCATGTATAGGGTGGTTCGAGTCACCAGGCTCTATCTAAAATGGACCGTAAAAATCGACGCCTGCACGTAGCCATCTAAACTTTTCGTCAAACGTCGGTTTTTTCTTGTAAAATTACATAGCCTAGTTCTCTTTTAGTAAAAAATAGGGCCCAGAAACTTGCCAGGATCTACGGCGGGCGGCGACACAGACGACGAAGTCCAGTAGCGGGGTGGGTTTGGCGTTCGTATTGATAGATGGCGTCGGGAGCAGCGTCTGAAGGTGCAGCCAACGTTACTAAACCCCTCAGTTGGGAAACTGCGATAGAGACTGCTATGAAAAAGTGGCCCCAATCTGTCCTCGACAACCGAGCTAATAGCGAACACAACGCCGCCATTTCTCCCGCAGCGGCCACTCGAGGAACTGCACGTTACTTCTATTTTGGCTTTAATCGGCCGTCTTGGCGCCGATACAGATACAGTAGAAGCGGTTACAGAGGTGCCACCCCCGTCCCCCCAGCGGACGCGCAGCGACTTCCTACTGAAGTTAAAATGCACCTATGACGCGCTCCCTGAAAGCACCGCTGAGGCATGGTTGTATAAAAACAATATTAATTGTGCCGCAAAACCCTGCGAACCAAAGATTTTGAAAACATCACGCGCCCATGATTTTGTACTAAACTCCAATAAATTTCATACAAAAAAAAAAGTATTTTCCGTTTGTTTTTACGCAAAAACATGTTCTATAAAAGCTCAAGGTGACCGCAAAACAGACAAATGATAAAGAGTGGCGCTGCTATCGTATTTAGCTCCGTCTCGGTGGGCGCCAGTGGCCCAAGTTTTGACGGCGAGTTTCCCAACTGAGTGTTTTAGTAACGTTGGGTGCAGCCGACTAGCGCAAGATAGCAGACGACAAGCAGACGAAATCCATCGGCAGCAAAAGCTCCGCCGTTATGCAGACGCGTTTTTTTACTTTAAGTTTTGCTTTTATTGTTCACAATTATTTTTTAACCGAAGGTACTTTTCAAAAGGATTATATTCATTTTAATAAACCACGGTGGTCGCTATCCCTCGCGATAAGGAGGTAGCACCATCTATCAATACGAACGCCAAGCACAACCCGCTACTGGACCCCTGTCGTCTGTGTTGCTGCCCGCCGTAGACCCTGGCAAGTTTCTTTGCCTTATTTTTTACAGAAAGAAAGCTACGCTTTGTAATTTTACAAAAAAAAACCGACCTGTGAATTACACCTTTGACGACAAGTTTAGATTGCTACGTGCAGGCGTCGATTTTTACGGTCCATTTTAGATCAAGCCTGGTGACTTGGACCACCCTATATTTTGCAGTACTTGAAATATTTTTTTTCTTTCGTGGCGACGCGCTGCGTTAATTCATAGAGTGATGTAACCGCCGTGATTCCTCAAGGAACTGCACCGTTTTTCTGCTGGCTTTAAATAAAAAAAAAGGTGCCCGATGAGGATATCTTTAAAGAAGCATTTATTCATCTTTGAAACTTGGCGCCCTTGCCAAGTCTCCTTGTTCCAATCGGTTCCACAGTAACTAAGGTGAACAATGATTGTCTCGTACTACCGCTTTCACACGTAAAGGCGGTATCCGTCGAAGTTACAATTGCGTCCTGTCGCCACCCTCGACGACGCAAGGTAGAAGATTTTTCTGTCCTCTTCTCGATAGCCGTACATTGCCTAGCAAGGATGTCGCTCCGCTCGATCAGCAGCGAGCTTCGCTTCTTCCACTCGCTCCTGAAACTCATGCCGCCGATGTCACCAAGTCACGTAGCAGACGACACAATATTTTCATGAAAGGCTAGCGGCCGCATTTGCACGCGGGCGGAGCGTGCCCTGTGTTTTTAGCCTGTGCTAGCTTAATATGACCGGAACTTCCCTATTAGTGGCAAGGAGGGAGTGCGTGCATTTTCTCATAATCAAAGCAAACAAGTACTCCACTGAGCTTGTTTGCTGAATTGATAATTTTGCTGAGTATCAACTCAGCAAAAGTCCCCTTTTGCTGAGTTAATACTTTCTGCTGCCTTGCGAATCAAATATATTGTTTGATCAAAATATATCAAGGCGATAAATAATGTACGATTCGTATAAGGATATTCCACTGAAATATTTTGCAATACTTATTATACTTTGCAATCCTTATGAAATATTTTGCAATACTTTTGCAATACTTATTCAGAATTTTACATTTGTGTGATGGTTAATATGTTTTAGTGATTTCATATTTCTTTTTATATAGCCCTGAATAAATAACTTACTATCTGGGATGGTGGTCTGTCCTAAATAATAGCATCATTCACGTGCAATTGATTTTGTGACTTTGTATCTACTAAAACACTGGCTGTTTTCTTTCTCAAGAAATCCTGTCCAGATATTTTTGAACAGCAATCAGAAGAGATTTGTTGATAATATTCATCTTTATATATTATGATTTCAGAATCTTCAGTGGCGGAAACAAAACAGCGTGGACACAATACTGGAAGATTTTGAGCCGACAGAGGTATGCAACATTTATCTTGTTAGAAACTGTGTGCTTACTGTGATAAATTTGCCTTGCTGGATAAGAAACCAGCAGGAAACAATTAGCCGCAAATACTGCTGATGTTTGTTTTCTATGAACTGCGATAGCATTCGTCATGACACTCACGACGCAGCTAACTGGGAATGCGACGACGCAAATTTTGAGTAAACACTCTATCTTATTAATGGTTTACGATGGCAATCATCGACATCAGCGTGACTACTTGCTAGGACGGCGTCGAAGACGATGTCTTAACGACCTGCAGTGCGATCTCAAAGATCATCTCTAGGATGACCTCTTGGGTGATCTCAAGGATGACCTCTAGGACGAGCTCTAAGATGACCTTAAAGAGACAATGAAGGCAATTTCGGATATTTTTCTTGACGATTGAACTGGGTTCCAGGCACGTCTCAGGCCACGTTGCCCAAATTTCAGCCGAAACCGGCGCTTGTGTGCCGCGCAAATCAGTTAAACAATCGCGGTAATAATCGTACCGCGATCGACTGGGGCGACGCCCCGAGAGTTGCGGGAGAAGCCGGGAGAAGCGGAGCTCACGTGACCAATGCGGGGCCAAGGAGCGCGACGTCACAAGAGACGCGTCAGCGATTGTTCGAAACGAGAGACGTGCCCTCGGTCGCGTTTTGGTTCGCAGTTTTTTTTAAGAATACTGGTCTAATACCCGTGCGACACGTGCAGCTCGAATGCCATTTACAAGGACTGGCATTTGTGTGATCGGCGAATCAGCTCGCAATCTGTCGCGCGTGGAATGCGCCACGCCCGGAGTGTTGCGCGCTGATCGGCCGTCCGCTCAAATGTCATTCGTTGTAAATGGCATTCGAGCTGCCCGTGTGGCACGGGTATAATTCCCGTTTGAATAACCATGAGAAGTATAAATCAGACCGGAGATGATTACTAAAACGTAAATAAAACAGCATACTTATTTTTTCCTTTGCTACGCTGGACGCGAAACGGGCAACAAGCAACTATGGGCAAACAAAATAAATTTAAAAAAGAATACAGCGCGAAGCGCGCTGCAGACGTCGATGTCGTGTTTACTTTGGGAACACGGTACTCGCACGATTCTGCAAAGTGGTAGTCATGCCAAATTTGTGCGCCGTAGATGGCTGTGCAAACGGTCGACTGAAGACCAGTAATCGTTCTTGTTCTTTAACGACGAAATGAGTAGACGTCTGACTCTGGTGAAAGCAAAACTGGTGCTGTTTATTTTCTCCTTCTTGGGGAGCGCCCCCCGCGGAGGAACAGCGGTTCCCGGGTCGCTGCCGCTTTCCCCTCGTCATCTCCCCCGCGTCCCTGTCGGGCAGGGACAGGGCCTGTCCTTCAGCAACGCGCCGCTCTCATGGAGAATAGAAGGGTAGGAGAGGGCATGACGTCAGCCGCGTAACCTTCACAAGCCATGCTCCCTTGACGCCTCGCCTCTTTCTTATTTTCCTCCTTACTCTCCTCACTTACCACGCCAACGTGACCACATCACGTGACCGTAGCTAGCCTTCGTCTTGCTATGGGGTACTAGAATATACCACAGTCTAGCCTTCGGTATGATAAAACCTACCGGACGGAGCGCGCGCAAGCGTGCAAAGAGTCCTTCTACAATCAACCATCCACCTCACACGTGACTTGTCACGAGCACCAATCGCCAGACATGCGGTCACGCTGGGCACAATATCGTTTAAACTTTTTATGACTAGGCTTCACCAATATTGCAACGTGTTCCCTCCTAGTACTTCTAACCTCCTTGGCCGCTCTCCTCTCGCCCGCGCGAATGTTGCTCACAGCTTTGCTGCTCGGAGCAAGCGGGCCGCTCGTTGCCGGCTAGGCGGTCACCGTCGGGTGGTGGCGAAGAACGCCACACACGTACTCCCGTTCCGTTGGTGTTAGGTCACTGAACGGAAGCCCGAACCGAACTCGCTCGCGAGAGCGGCATTGTCGTCCATGTTGACAGATCCGACGAAACGATCGCGCCACCGCGGTGCTATAACCCACCGCGGTAACCAGTCTCGATCTCCTAAATGCTACCGATACCGACTATTCACACTTGACATCACTCCCTACGTCACCTCCGTTTTCGGGGGCCCAGAAATTAGAATGGAGATAGTTCAGTTTTGGTTTCTTGAGTTCTCTTGTAGGCACAGAAATACGCGTCACAAATGTCTACGAAAAATTGGGCAGCGTGCTAGGTTCCCAAGAAGCCTAAAAACCACCATTTAAAGAATTTAATTAAAGTCGCCTTCATTGTTTCTTTAAGAACAGCGTCGAGGACGACGTCCTAGAGCATGACTTTAAGGACGACATCTAGAATAACCTCTAGGACGACCCCTAGGGCTATCTCAGGTACGACCTCTGGGACGACGTCTCGGGCGACCTCAAGGACGTCCTCCAGGACGACGTCGAGGACAACGTCCCGCATACGACCAGCGCCTGCCTATGCGAAATTCGTCCTTATGCGGAGGCTCCTCGCCGCGCGGCGCGTCCGCATACGCGAGTCGCGCATACCCGCGACGTATTTGATGCCAGAGAGCGTATTGCGAAAACCGGGTGAAGTAGTAAAAAATGCTTTCGCATTAAAAAATTATGTGTAAATATCTGCTGTTGCTACGCTGATTCTTAAGGAAAAGCTTGGCAATGGTCCGCATACTGAAGAGCCAATCTTCGAAGAGCCAATCTTTTCTCCCGAGTGTCGGTGGTTTCGCGCAAACGATCGAAGTCGTCGCTTTGCCTCGGTATTACGTGATCGCGTACGTTGTGCCACCCCCACGGCAACACCTCCTAGATAACAAAGCCGTAGTGCTGATAGAGATGTCGTCATCAGCGAAAACCAACGGTGCTCAGAGATTGGACACGACGATTGCGTCAACGTTCGACTCAAGCTTTACTCGAACCCGAGCGCTGGCGTGGCACTTGTTTCCAATCTGTGTTTAGCGTCGGCCTTCGCTGATTACGCAAAAATGTCGGCACTACGGCCTTGTCTTGTAGGCGGTGTTGGTCACGACCGCTCGATCCCCTCCTCTCTTGTTTCTGCGGCGCCTCATTGGAAGCGCGTCAGAAGACTTTTTACCTCTTGTAGGAGGGAAAGTGGACGTAACGAGAGAACGAACGGGGCGAAAGAACACGGCGGGAACCTCGCCGTGGCCTCAGGAAACCAGTCCAGCCCGAACCACGACCGCTCAAACAAAAGACGGCTGCATGCACACGGCAACAAATCTAGCTAATATAAAACGCAGAGTCAGGGCTTCCAAGAAGGAATTAAAGGGACCATGAAATGACCTTTTTACTTTTTCCAGATAACTTTTACATTAAACCGTCAATGTTCACTGAATGCCGAACAGGCATCCGTTTTCGTCTCGGTTTATTAACTTTTACACAAAAAATTATTGAAATATCGACTTTTTCATTCTCTCCAACTGACCGCAAAAGAAGCCGTGACGTAGACCGTTTCCGGAACCGGAAGTTCTCTCGGCAGTAGGAGAATGGGAATGTTAGCGGCAAAGAGTTGGGGTGCGCCGGTAGGTTTTACTGCGCTGATGTCACCGACGTATTTTCTGAATCGGCGCCTCTCATCGCCGCATCGCAGCTGAGCGAAATTCAATGAGATATGTTGCGCTACAGCGACAGCATGGGACTAGTCCCATACGCCGGTATGTTTGTTGGGAAGTGCAGCGAGTCTTGTCACCACCCCGTCATTGTTGGCAGAAGGGCCGGCCCGTGTCAGTCGTTTGCAAAGCGACGTAGATGGCGTTTTTCGCGGCCTCGGAGATGCAGGAGCGAGCCGACGTTAAAAAAGATACGTTTGAACTACGAGTGTCAGCAAGAGCCACGTAAATACCTGCTTACACTCGGAGCGGACGCGCGCGCTTGATGGAAGTCTTGTATTCGCGCTGTTGGTAAGCGCTTCGGGACCGTTCTTTTACGATTGCAACTCGATACTGACGCGACACTCGGCAAAGAAAGGTTGGACCGGGGTCGACAGTGACGTGCAGTCTGTCAGAATAAAAATGGCATACCAATAACAAAGTGTACATACCGTGTTTCGAAGGCAATCCATACGGCGTTTATTTCAGCTCTATATCACACAAAACAAGAAGATAGAATCGACGAGAGTCCCTTTTCGACGAGTGTTCGTCAACACTGCCTCGGAAAACAAGGGGAAGAGATTGACCTCCTCACCTCTTAATCTAGAATTGAGGTCAGTGATCAAACTATAATACGGGAAGGGTCCACAAGGGTCGCGCGGGCATATTCCATTTAGCACGCCAGCCGGTCGTAGGCAGACGGTCTTGCGACGAAGCAACGCAGCGCCGAGTCGGAATGCCTGCTAGGCCTATACGCTTCGTCGGAGTCGGTGAATCCAGCGTTCTTGTTCGTCGTGGTCTGTTTTAAGTACTGTTTTCTTGCTGCTTGAAGTCGGCACGCGCGGGAAGAACACGTAGAAAAATAAACGTTCAGTCAGTCAGAGTTTTGAGAGGAAGGAAAACAAAGAAAATAAATGTTCGTCGATCGCCGTCACCCAAGTAACTGGCGGCCCTGCCCTACTGCGCACGCGCAGTAGTTGCTTCGTTTACCACACGATAGATGGCGCTTGGCTCTCAGCATTATCAAATTTGGCAATTTTCGCCACACATCTCTAATTATGCTACAAAATGTGGATCTGAATATTATTTAACAAAACTTTTAGGAAACATTCGCCGGCTATTTATTGTTTACGATCGCGGTGCTGGTGAGGTAGGCTCTTACCCAATAGGCGATGTGGATTCGGCTGACGTGCACCGATTCTGCGTATGCATCGTAGTGAACAGGCGAAGGAAGGAAGGCGCAAAAGAGTCCAGTTTTCTTTTAAAAGTTCTATAGCAAAGAATTTTTTTGGGCTCCCTATTTTTGTGTTTTTGTGTTTCTTTTCACACCTTTTACGACGTGCGGTGGATGAAACTCGATTTTAAAATCATTTCATGGTCCCTTTAACGACATAAGGACAAATGTAAACAACACTCGACTGTGGCAGATCGAACAGTGGCATTCGACGTCTTCACTGTTTTGTAGAAAGGTGAAGACATAACACTGAGCACATCAAGGTGCTCCTCGAAAGAACGCCATCCAGATCTAGGAGATTTCGTCAACAGAGGAATGAATGAACCCGGCTGAACCCTTTGAATCATATTATGGTTTGCGCTATCTAACGCGAAATTCATCTCAGCAACTAATGTGGATCTATGCAGAAAGCAAATTTAAAATTATGTTTTAATAGTGCTATTTATAAAATCATTTCTCAGTCGCAGGCGCACGCAACTTGTTTGGTAGCCACTGAGCGCGAAAATGGCCCTGTAGGATATCTGTGTAATGCCCAGTTTCAAGTAGCATATATGCACCATAACTTCAAACATAATGCTTGTTACGTTTGCTTTAGGTTTCACAAATTCATTCCATCATATAGGAGTTTCTTTTCTCAAGTGTTTTTCTGTCGGGGATCTTAAACTATAAAGCGGTCGCAGTATATATACGAATGGTTTTGTTGACTTTATGTGCTATATTGTTTTTATGTCTATCTACTGCGATACATTTCTGTTAAGCTTTTACAAAAATAATCAGTCTAATATAACTGTACTTCAAGTGGATAAAGTACCCCAGCAGTTTACGAGCAATCTAAAACTGAAGTTACCATGTGGTTTCACTGTGAAAAGATTCTTCAATAATCAAAATAATTACTTATATGACGTCTTCGGCATTTGGACTTAGGATACAAGGAACAGCGTAGCAGTTATCCCGAATTGTAATTTATTAATTAAAAATATAATATAAAAATCCGTGACGCGAAATTACAAAAAAGGAACAGGTTAAATATGCTTGTCACCGAAACGTTAACGATCTGAAATTTCTCTTGTCTTATTGTGGTGTGCTGTGAATCTTCAAACATGACAAAAAATAGTGTTCATTGTGGATTAGTCTAGGGTGACCACCCGTTCCGCGACTCGCGGGACTGTCCCGCATTGAGGGCTCGTGTCCCGCGTCCCGCGAGAAATTCGAAAATCTTCAGAATGTCCCGCATTTCACACTGTCGTAAAATTCACTCTGTAACTCATGGTGCTGCCGAACAACGGAGCACGGGGGAGCGCAGAGGTCGCTGGTAATCGTGTGAATCGCAATGGTACGCCATTTTCTATCTAAGCATTGCGGGAAGGGACCGTCGTCCTTGCAGGAGATCCGACGCGCATGCTCCGTTGCGGCTCTCCCCTTGGTGGCAAAATATTGTAAGAAAAATTGCTCGCGAAATGTTTGAATTTAAAATATTGTAATTATTTTCAAATCGCTGTATCAATGCGAAAGGGTTGCTGTGAAGTTTGTTTTTAGTGAAGACAGCCATACAAGGCAAAAAGCCTGCCATTCAGAACGGTCGCAAAAGAACATAAAATTGTGTTGGACCATGTCGATAAAAGTAAGTGTTGACAGGAAACAATAACCCGAAAAAGATTTACTGTTTTTTTTTTTTTTTCATTTGATGCATTGAGTTTTGCCACAGTCGATTTTTATGTTTTCAACTTCGACATATTTAATAACATTTTTGGCATAAAGCAATATTTCACTGGGAGTGAAAATTGTTTGAGCTTAATTGCTGCAATGCAATTAGCATGTGTATAAACAGCGCAGGATATTCAATGTGTTAACAGAGCTTTCGTTCGTGGTGTGCGTGTTAATAAATTTCCTCCACCCCTCTACCCCGTGTGTCCCGTACTTCGATAGCAGGAAGGTGGTCACCCTAGATTAGTCATTTATTTGAAGGGGTACTCCGGCGATTACTTTATGGTTCCCGATTTGCCTGAAAAGTTTATAAATACCCCAACAAACAGTATCCAAAATATTAGCTTAAAATATTTTTTCGCAAAGTTATAGAATTTACATTCTTGGTCCTCATCGTGTTTTTCAAACGAAACGTGTCTACTGGCAACAACAAAAAACTAACGCCATTGGAAGGCAGGGGTTAACTCTTTGGACGGTAGAATTTGTTCCCAACTGATTCCAAGTAGTTTCATGGTGTCAAATGAATTCCCTGGAAGGTCCCTCCAGCACCCGCGCACAACCACGGAAGAAATGCTTGACATAGTCATTTTTTTTTTACTTTTTGCTCGACTGGCAGGCTATCCTGCCACCAATGTCAAGGCACAGAACATTACGGCTTTATTTGAGTGTTGGTTTTTGATCCATTTTCATTTGCCGGTTTCACAATCATTGTAATGATTTTCGCGATACTAATTAGCATACCGGAAAGAATTGAGCCCGAGGTTTCAGAAAATATAGTTAGTTAAGGGTAGCTCAATAATCGCTGGGTAACCCTTAAAAACATTTTCATTAACACTATGGCACAGTTTTCAAACAAAACGCTCCGGAAGCACATAAGGATTCCCAGTTAGTTTCATTCTTTCAAATTAATTCTGGTAGTAAGCAAATACTAATTAGTAATAATGTTTCAGTCAGAACGTGAATAAGTGGAGTAACATTTTTATCGGTTCCTTCTGGGAATAAGACCTACACCCGAGTACAAATTTTAAATCCATCTCAAATATACAGTATTTACGCTTTCAATGCAGCATACCTTGCGGGAGGATCTCAATTAATTTTAACAATGTATTTCACTTTTAAACCGTTAAACAGCGTGACTAGAAAGAGTCTGCATGCCTGAAGTTGTTTCTTCGCTACTTTGCTTAAGTGCGTGCATAGACGGCAGCAATTTTTATACTTTGCGCAAATACCGTTTAGAAAGAATCTCTGACGTTTACACCCTATGAAACTTGCGTTAGGCCTAAACAGTCGTCAAAGAATCTGCAAAAACATGATACTGGCCTTATATCCTCCGAAGCGTCACGAGAGCGAACACATTCAAATGACGGAAGACCATTATGAATAATAGTGACAAAAAGTTCGGATTTCCCTTCCGATACGTTCACCATCTATTGAGTTTATATACGCTTATCATTCTCTTAGATTGACTTTCTTCATTTTGTTGTAATTTTTTTTTTCAGGTTCTAAAAAAATATTATCCGGGCGGACTAGTAGGTCACGACAAAGAGGGCTGTCCCTTGTGGATCATTCCCTTCGGTTACACGGACATCAAAGGCAAGTATATTTAAGTGTACCGATATTATCGAAACAACTCCTTCGAAGCGGTCATCCCTAACAGCCTCTGCTTGCAGTCCCACTCAAGTCGTGGCAGCCTCTAGCACAGTAGACCTTTCGTCTTACTTGTAATGACCGAGTTGATGCTACAAACGGAACGTACTCCACAGTCACGGTATTATGAAGATGGAGCACACACAGCCCCATGGGTCGATTCGAGTAACTCATTTTTGTCCAAAGCTTCAGGTCCCTGACCTTAATCAAAAGAAAATCGTGCATCAGCTTTATTATGCGATTTTCTAAACGAGACCAAGATAACTTCCAGATACTCGACATTTTGTCAACGAATTCATACACGCCATTTATTCCGTATGCGTTTGACATGATGCTATTTTTTACTCGTATTTTAATATTTATATTATTGTAATTTTCTTGCGCGCATTACTTTTGACATAATCTTTGTATACTCTTATGATTTCTTGGTGCACGTGCATAGTTCGATACGTTATTAGTTGTACACAGATTTTTTTAATATACACTTTTCGAAAGAGCTTGATATCTAATAGTAATTCCGCCAATTATTGGTGTCCGTCATTGTTTGGGCCTTAAGCATGTATCACTCTATCTCAGTAGTCGTGTGCAGCAAAGACATAGGCGCGGGCGCATGACTTTCAGATTTGTTTTTCTTTCTCGAGTGCTCGTGAAAAGAAAGCACATCTGAAAGCCGCGCGCTCGCGCCTGTGCTTTTGCTTCTGCTGCACACAACTCATTAGATGGGGTGCAGGCACGAGGGTTCCGTCAGCGCGCGGCCTGAACTCGAATCAGCTCACATCGAAAGCGAGCGAGTGCCGGTCACTCGGACCTAAGCACGCGCTTCGTGCAATAGAAATGGCGATCGCCAATGTGGCACGATGAACATTTTAAAAGGGCCTATTTGACGCCATATATCGTGTATCCCATCTATTTATTAAGTTTCAAGTAGCCGGTCTCAGAATATGGGAACAAATTATTCGCTTTATCGAACAAAAATCGAAGACTTCTATGCACCTGCGGGAACAAGGGCGACTGTAGATACGCCTTGAGCGAGAGTGCACTTTTTGTACATAAAAGCAAAACCTTGGCTCAAGTGAGCAGGACTTTTTTCGTTGATAAAAGCCGGAATAGTACCGCTTCTGGAACGGTGCACACAGACGGCTGAATCAATTAGGGTTACCTGGATCCTGTGATGTAAAAAATTGTACTCGAGGGCCACTTTTTGCTGGCATTAGAGATGAGATGATCGAGCATATACTGTTGTAACGTTTCACAGATAACCCCAGATTGGGGACGAACACCACCGAGGGGCAAAAGAGCGTCCTTCCACACGGCGTCTTTTATCACGCCGTGACCAACCCTGTTAAGGCACGACCACATTGGCGTCGCGGAGGCCAGCGGCGCGACGGTCGACGCGGCCAGCTGCCGACCAAAACCAGTTTTTGGCTTCAGCTGCGCGGCGCGCAGCGCCGCAGAGCGAAACGCTCCTTGCGCGGTTCAGAGATCGCCGCTTCTCGGCGCAGAAGAGAGGAGCCAAGGGGAGGTGGCGTAGATAGTGACGTTGCGATGCCATGGCAACGCCCAAGCCGGTTCTCTGCGCGTCTTTTACGTTCCGAAGGAACGTAGCGTTGTTTTGTGTCGTCTGCTATACCTGTTTCCCCCGATGCCTTCCCCAACGGAGCGGTTCCTTGAAACTGCGCGACTGTTTCCCTTTTTAAATGACAAGACGCAGCCAGACTACCTAGATAAGGACGCTGAGAACAACCGCTGGCAAATTATAGGAGAGGAATTTGGAATTACAAGCGAGTTTCTCCGTTACACTCGTTGCATGTCGTCTGTGTTGTGACGGATGTCGTGTTGATTTGGTGACACCGTCGAAAGTAGCCGTCATCTCTGGTGCGCCGCCGGGGCAGCAAATCACTGACCTGTCCTTCACTGTTTCGGTAGAAGCAACTCGGCCAGACCCAAAACTTGTGCCTCCTTCCCTTAAGAGCGCGACGACGTCGCAAGATCAATGAGCACACTAGGATAATCACATTCACGCTGATTACCAGGTCACCATGGACATCTTCCATCTAGGCAGCGAGTGCGGTTTTGATGCTGATATATGCGAAAGATGAAAGCCGAAACGGAAGTATCTATCGAAGAGCAGACGACGAAAGAGCGAAAAATCCGACGGGAGGCGTGCGCGCGATCGCGAGAGCCATTGCTGTCACGTGACGCCGCAAAACGCAGGCCAATGTGGACAACTCGCGTTGGGACGCCGGACGGCGGTTCCGCCCGGCGGCGCCATTCACGCTAGTGTGGTCAGGCCTTTAGTCCGGACTGGTTTAGACGAAGCACGGCGACATCTTCTACGGTTTCCTCTGCCGGTGGGGGTCCTCCTCTCCCTCAATGAGAGAGAGACCCCAGAACGGAAACGAGACTGCGCCCACGCCATTTTGACTATTGAACGAAAATTGTTCGCAGTGGAAATAATAAAAGTGTTGTTGTACTCAGCGAAATGCCTTATCTGCCAACAAGAGGCAGCAGCTCCAATGTGTACACCCTTGATCGGCACTCAAGGCGCGCGAGCGCTGCCGTCCCAAGTACTGGCGAGAAGAGCGAGGTACAGGGAGCGCCTTGTCCAGTTTGCTTTCCGCGGAGCTGTGTGTTTCCAACACGAGACTTGTAGACGTCACCTTCCTCAATCGAGCACGCGGCGCAGATTGTGGCACGAATGGCTGCGTTTGACTGCCTCAGCCGAGCGCTGCGTTATAAATGATTCGCGATGCTGTTCCCATGCGTGTAGTGTTTAACCTATCCACTAGGGACTCGACTTTTGGATCTCCTCCTCAGTAGCATAGGATGATGCTACAGAGAGGGGATAACAAATAGAAAAAAAAACGTGAAGTTCGAAAAGTTGAAAGGGCAGGCCTCACTCATATTGAAGTCGAAGGGGCATCATCGGGCTCTCCATGACGGTAGTCCAGCAGAAATACGGCGGCTGCGATTTCGACGATGAAGAAACCTCAAGTATGGCGTCGCCGGGCCGCCGTTTTCCGCGGATCATCTCGCAACCACGAACGTCATGTTCTTTTCCCGACCCAAAAACTGTGTGCGCCTGCCCTCCGAAAATTGTCCCTCTCTCCCGCGTCGCTTTCCCCGCCTTGCCGGTGCCGAGAGCACTCCCTTCGCCGGGGGAAGGAAAAACTTGGGGAAGAAAAAAAACCGGGTGGTGCAGGTACGAGACTGTTCCACCCGAGCGGTCTCGCACCTGCACCGCCCCAGACACTTCTGCCTGTCGCAAATAGCTAGTTACCGGCGATCGCTGCCTAAAACTCACAAGAATGCCGCTGCGTTGGCGGCCGCCATCACACACTCAGTCTCCGGCTCGTCTTGTTTTTCTTGGCTTTAGCCGTTTCCCTTGCGTCGACTTCCAGTGAAGTCCGGTAAATAAGTATGGCTGCCGGCAAAACTTCCAGCAAAGCCGGGTACGTCTGGTAACGAGAGTGGCTGATGGTAAAACCTTCAGTAAAGACTGGTAAACTATGCTGGTTTCGAATGAAAACGGGTAGAAACTTGGCCCGTTTTCACCGCATGTCCCTGGAAGATTTTGCCGGATTTTTCAATAGGAATATTGCACCGAAAAGATTGCGGGATTTAGCTGCTAAGTGAGCGGAAGCGTCGGACTTTCCAGGAAAAAAAAATGTTTTCTTCGGCGCACTGTTTCTTCGTGTAAACTGGTGCAAAGACCGAGTTACACAAGTATCATTCATGGATGCCTCAATGTGACCCGCCATGGATACTACTAAGCCATTGCCCGAATACGTCTAATGTGGGACTCATAATGCTTTTTTTTTCTTATGCCCTCAGGCTTGTTCTATTCCGTCAAGAAGTCAGACTTCATAAAACACATCATCCAGCAGTTGGAGTTCAGTCAACAGGACATGTCTGCCCAAACCGAAGCTGTAAGTGTTAAGATTTTATAGGGGTTCTTGAATTTGTAAAATAACAATGCTACTGTGAAGCGCTTGTAAAAATAACCTTCCATTGACTACCTATTATTGCGTGCGTTTCATGGAGCCCCATGACACACATTATTATAATCCTTATATTACTCCAACATTAGTCATGGTATTTTGGTCTGAAGAACGACGATAGCTAGGAACAACTAAGAACAAAGTATTTTGCAAAAAAAAATCTTACGTGTGAAAATTGTTTAAGGTCCGCAAGGAATTTAAGGTGGAAACAAGTCTTCAAATATAATGTTTTTCTACTTTTCACTTTTACAATGCATAACTAGATAAAAACACACTCTACATCACGCCAACAGACAGCCTGAGTGCATACCCGGTTAGTAAAATAAAGATGCCGGCCATATGAAACAACTCTGACTGACAAACGTTAAATTTGCAAGTAATGAAAGCTTTAAAGAGAATGCATATGGACATGAATTTTAATAGATTTTATAATTTTTAAAACGAAAGCAAAAGGATGGCAAAAATAATCCCTGGAGAAGGGGAACAAGGGGGACAAAGGACAAACACAAATCTCCAAACACAGCTAGGTCACTGGTGTGCGACCGAAACAATCTGCCTGGTCCTGGTACCAAACCAGTGACCTCTTCATTTCCAGTGGAGCGCTCTGCCAACTGAGCTAAGCAGGGATTAGACGTCAGTTAAGCGAACATGTTTTATCAGCGGCCACCAGTCTAACACCAACAAGCGTGAACGGCCTGCATTTTAAAGCTCTGATTATGGAACAATTAATACGAAGGTGCAAGCGGCTGAGACAAGAATGACGAAAATAATCCCTGAAGAAGGGGAACAAGGGGGACAAAGGAGAAACACAGATCTCCAAACACAGTTAGGTATCCTAGTTAGCTCAGTAGGTAGAGCGGTTCACTGGAAATGGTGAGGTCCCTGGTTAGATACCAGGACCAGACGTATTTTTTTTTCAGTCGCGCTCCAGTCACTTAGCAGTGTTTGGAGATTTGTGTTGGTCCGTTGTCCCTCTTGTTCCCCTTTTTCGGAGATTATTTTCGTCAGTCTGGTACAGCTCGCTTGCACCTTTGCAATATTTGCATGATCGTGATAGCAGGAGGTTTTTGGTTGGCAGCGAAATTGCATTTTTATGGGAATAGTGCATTGTACTTCGAGCATATCCATTATGTGTAACATATTTCAAAGAACTATTTTCATCATATGTTATTTTAATTTTTTATTATTGCTATTCATATGTCGAATATATTGTATTCTAAACGTTTTTATATTATGCCCCATTGTAACTGTATCCCAAAATTGTTACATGTTTCCTTGTGCTGTGCAATATATTTATGTAACAGGTTTCTGAAACCAGTTTTTTTTCCCCTTTCATTGTAACAGGGTAAAATCTTTATTTTCTGTTCTGTTTAAATAATTTAAGCACAACTAATATTTACTGTCGTTTATTTATCGTATTTTCTACCAAATTTATTGCATACCTGTTTACTTTCTCTTCTGCTCTGCTATGTATTGTAGAATTGTTACGCAAAATATTACGTAATTACCTTGAGCCGCTGAACTTTAGAGGGCATAGGCTCCGCCATCTAGCACGCATTTCTGTTTTCCCCTTACAAGATCTACCCGTGCTACGAATAAAAGAAAGGGGAAAAACGAATAGTTCAAAAGTGGAGTTGCTATACATTTTTGTAAGATTGTGCGAACAACGCAGGCAATATATTTCGCGTCATATATTCATTTTCTCCTGGAGAAGTACGGGATATTGTTTAACACGTAAATTTGCTTTATATTGATGGTGAATTTTTTTTTTCACTTTCATATGTGAGGTAGGTATAATACCTACGAACTTCATTATAATTATTGACGCTATATTTTGCTTTCACGTTTGCAGCTGGGCAAGGTTATAGAAATGCACAGCTTCATATTTGATTTGGAAAACTTCAACCTGAAACAAATCGCTTGGAAACCGGGTGCGTGTCTCCTGCTTGTTCATTAACTCGAATCTATACTCCACCTCACGGGTTCTGCAGCGTCCTTTGAAAGATTCGGCAAACAAACAAGGCCTGTTTAAGAACTGACTCGCGATCTGTGATAGCACTGCGCATGACTTGTGAAATGGGGTATAACTCGCAAGATTCTTCCCGTCGTCTCAATATTCCAGAACGTTTCCTGCATGCACGGTAATAAATTATGTATTTTAATGTTATTTCCGAGTGTACTGGCACCTGTGCTTCTGAGTGGAAAATCTGCTAATTAATTAATTGTTTATTTTAGACAAACAAATCTGTTGGGTGGAGTAAAAGGCGGCCTAAGGCACCCGAGGAGCCTTTTCCATCGCTCTAACCGTCGCACATAAAATATTACTGATTTGTGCACTAGAATATATACATCGATTTCTTACGAGTTTTTGACGGGGTTTAATGTTGATCTTCTAAGGTTCTAATTATTCTTATTTTTCCCTCCAGCTCTAGATATGATCATTAATTTGGTGACTATGTACGAGGACAACTACCCTGAAATGCTCAAGAAAGCTTACGTCATTAACGGTAAAGTAATATTGTTTTATATATATTTGTTGTTGCCTATTATGCTTTTCATGTATTCAAGAATGGCTGAAGTCGACAATCCGCATCCGTTTTTCTAGTTAGATCGATAAGTATTTTTGGAAACAGTACATCCGTTTGCAGAGTATCTTGAAACGTCATAGCAAATTGCTGTTGTTTTTTGTATGGATTGATATACTATAAGAATACGGCGCTGAAATAAAGAGGACGATAGTCATTGAGTGGATGAGGGCGATACGTGAGGTATTTCGTTTGACCCACCTCCAAACTTCTATTACCTTTGATACCACTTGGGCACGTCGTGAGCTCCGAGCTTGTACGCGCACCCAAAACATGGCGGAAGGCAAGCACCACGTGCTGGGGGACATTCGAGAGACACACCCGGTCATTTCTGCTGTCATTGTAAATTTCGCGCTGCAGGCGGAGTTTCTGTTGAACAGAATAGGTGCTGCCTGCCATATTCTCCTTCGTATTTTTCAATATGTTGAATGATTACCAGCGTGGTGATGCTTTTTTTTTAATTTAGTAAGTTAGTAGCTGTAATTTTACAATGCGACGTGAATTGAATGCGTCTTGACTTCTGATTTCAGCGCCAAAAATCTACCCCATCATCTACAATATGGTCAAGCCCTTTCTCAGCGAGGAGACAGCGAAGAAGATACATGTTTTCGGCAAAGGTATGTTTGTCATTTGCACTGCTTGCTGTAACAAAAAAGAACCACGCGATATTCACTGTGGGTAAATGGCCAATTGGCAGCGCCTAGTAATTAAAAAGAAAAAGATCTGAAATGGTTCTTTAAAAGAAACTTTTAGTTCTCGCTCAGAATTCGCAGAGATGCGCAAGCGATAGCAGTAGCACGGTCGCGCAATGCGGGTCGAATGGTTCCGTCAGGTACCTGACGACGGAGGTGCGACAGGGTTGATTATCATAGCCGTTGTGGTTGGCGTCGTGGATGCCACTGACGACTGCCACCAGTGATTTATTTATTTATTTATTCATTTACCCTAAGGGCCCTTTCGGGCATTACATAGGGGGGAATTCATACTAAAGGAACACGTTGACAGTAGTGATACACAGAAAACAGGAAGAAAAAAAAGAAAATAAAGCCGCGGCACACAAAAAAAGCAGTACATATAATCACAAATTCAATTGCTGCACTTCAATGGTAACATTATACAAATACAAAATGAAAACCAAGGACACGCTGCAGAACTATGGCTTATCTGCGACGAGGGGCCAACATGATTATGTTTTTTGTGAAATGAAATCCGTGAAGTAAGTGGGTAAGCACAGTGGATGGTTCCTGAAACCATCCAACATTACGCGTAGCAACACCCAGATTTCACATAACGCGAGTAATGTTTCAAAACAAGTCTTTCAAGCAGACGACACGATTATTCTCCCTTCGTCGCGCCATTCTTGGCGGGACGCCAGTGCTGCCCTCCTCACCCTTTTCGTGCGGCACGGCGGACGGGAAGTCCTGACTTCCCTTTCCTCGCGGCAGGAAGGGAAAGAAGAAATGCTTTCCATTTTACGCGGGCGTGGCGACCACGACGGTCTAGGACGAAATCTCTGCAAAGTGTCGCCCATAAAGCTACCACTTTAAAATGAGTTACAAGGTGATTTCCAGCGTATATTTGTCCTGTGTATTTTAATATCGCAAGCATTTGATCCGATTATATCATAGACGCGAGAAAAACCGAAAAACCAACTTCTGGGTGTGACGTCATACCCAGAGGTTTAAACTGACTTGCTCTTACCGCTTGTGAGGGAACGCATGCAGCGTTTTTAACTACTTAGGTAAGTCTTGCCGAAGGCGCGTAAATGTTGAAATCTCAGTATAATACGCCACGATTTTCTTCTGCCATCGAACGGGCCGGGAAGTGGTATTTTGAACGTGTTGTGGTGACTATGTTGGCGGATCAGTCTGAAATATAATTTCGATATGCGCCATCCTGGAGGCCAAATGCAGACAATTCAAGCGTGGTTTCTCAAACACAAAAACACTTTATTTTCCATTAAAATTGTGTATATAAAACCCAAATGTTGAGCGAGTGAAGCAGGTCCATTTGAAGCGATAAAAAATATTTCATTCATTACATGGCATAATGCACACTTTTTAACGTAAAAGTCGTATCTAGCGCCAAATGTATCAACATTTTATATACCGGAAATTCTAAAAAAGAGTGTTTGTTTTTTAGCCTATCAGAGCACAGAGTACGTTTTTTTCGGTGTTCAAGGCCTGCAAATAGAACGTGGGGATGCGGTAAATTATTAATTGTGGCAGCCATATACCTTTGCTGGCGAATGTTTAACTTTCGTGAGGGACTGATATCAATATTGAACATTCAAAATAAAAGTGGTTCTAAAGCAGACAGTGCTGGTATCCAGATGCTCAAGCCCATAGCCTACGTGCTTAACCTTGATTGAAATATACCGCTTTCTTTGGAATATGTTTTTCTTGCTGCGCTGTCTGCGAACCATTTATAACATTGTAATAATCCCCGTTCTAAACATACTGGGCACGTGTTACCTTCATCCCGACGCAGACAACTGGAAGAAGGCCCTGCTGCAAGACATCTCTGAAGAGGAACTGCCGGTGCACTGGGGGGGCACCAAGGCGGGTCCTGATGGCGACCCACGCTGCACCCACATTGTGAGTCTGGTGGCTCCCAGACGCCCCATCAGCTTTATCTCACGTGTATCATACTTGTCCGGCATCGCGGCAAGGGTCAATTCTGGTATCTGCCGGTAAGGCGACTCATTCAAGGCTCGGAACAACCAGGCCCATCGCGCAGATTCGGCTTCGCTGAAACAATTAAAATGAAGGTGCTACAAGTCTTGTTGATTCAGCTATTATACTACCAAATTACCAATATTCTTCTTTTGGAGTACGCTGGCACTATACGAAATTTTACTCGCCATGTAAAAATAAGCTCACATTTACAATACTGAATGGAATTTGACTGAATGGAATCACAGCTGTGCGCGAAACTGCTGAAATCACGTTGAGCCAAACTTCCACGTTCCGCCCAACTCCCCTCGCAACCAGCAGTTCCCGCATGCGCTGAAATTTATTGCAAACACGGGGCTTCCCTGCGCGAACTGTCGAACAGCCCTCCGACCGTCGATTTCGACAGATGTCTCCTGGCGCTGGGCTATGAGTGACTGTTGATCAGGATGTAGCTGATCCAAGGCTGATTGGAGTTGTCGTCCGAACAGAAGCTCCGCAGGGCTCTTTCCTGCTGACGTGCTTGAAAGAATGTGTTGCTCGAACAAGACCCTGGCCAGGACCTGGCCAGGTTCTTGTCCGAACGGACCTGAACCTGGCCAGGTTCAGGTCCGTTCGTCTGGCCAGGTTCAAGAACCTGGCCAGACGAACGGACCAGTCCCCCCAAATCATTTTCTTTAGTGACTTCTTCGTCTCCTGCACCATCCTCTCGGCTTGGCCATTCGAAGGTGGGTGATACGGTGCCACCAGGACTTGACGGATGCCGTTTCGACGAAGGAAATCCTTAAAATCGCCTTAAGTGAAGGCACTACCGTTGTCCGAAACCACCACGTCCGGCAGTCTGTGCGTAGCGAATAAGGTCGGAGTACAGTGATCACTGCCGAGGCGGACGTAGATCTGACTCGCAGGACTTCCAGCCATTTGGAGTGGGAATCCACTACGATGAAAAAATACTCGCCCTGGAAGGGACCCGAAAAGTCGGAGTGCAGTCTCGACCACGGTCTTGTCGTAAATTCCCACGGGTGGACGGGGGCGCGGGCAGGGTCGTTTCGGAATTCCTGACACGGAACACAGCACCGAACTAGGCGTTCTATATCTTGGTCAAGGCCCGGCCACCAGACATAACCCCTTGCAAAACCCTTCATCCTCTCAACCCCCAGATGACCGCTGTGCAATAGGTCCAACACGGTTTCTCGAAGAGGTGGTGGTGTGATGACACGGCTGCCCCAGCAAAGCGGCATGTCTTGGGGTCATGCGCACCATTGCAACGCCAGCATGCTTTCTGATGAAGTGCCCTTGAACGGTGCTCTTCCGTGTTGCTTGTTGTGTTGCCGGTTGCGGCAGGCGGAGGGATTGGCCTCTGCGGTGAGGTGGTTCGCTGAGGCGACCTTGACGCTGCGTCACCTTCCACCCGATACGTTTCTGGATCCATTGCAGCCCCCGATGTCGACGCAGAGGCGCGAATTTCAGTGGTGTAGTGTCGAACAAGTAAACCAGATGGCGCCACATCCCCGCTGTCCGGTATGCGTTGGAAGAGCCCCAAAGGCCAGGGGGCGACACAGGGCAGAGGTGGATGGCGGTGCATAGAAGACGGACGCACGAGGCTTGCGTTATCTGAAATAAAGCTAAACAGTTTGGTTCATTACCTGGTTGTCTCCCTCGGCGTTAAGAAAAGACACTACAAATCTGGCGACGAGGATGGGATGCCGGGGAAGACCGTAAGAAGATTCATCTCGACGGAACGTTTAGAGAAGACGCCAAAAGAGACCCGAGAGCGAGACCGCAAGACCACGCCGGTCGAGAGCTGAACAAAGAAGACTCCCTAGAACCAAGTAAGCAGTCGCTATGGACATTCGCGTCCCGAGCATTCGTCCGTTTGATCCGCATGCTGATCCAACTTCTCTGTCTCAGCGCTGGATGCGATGGCATCCAAGATTTGAGAATTATCTCATCGCCTCCCACGTCACGAACGACGAAAGAAAGCGCGCACTGTTTCTGCACCTGCGGGAGAAGCCGTTCGCGACGTTTTCATCACACTCCCGAACATGGGCACTCTTTACGAAACCGCGGTCGAGAAACTGAAAGCTCACTTCACGCCAAAGAAGAACGCAGTTTTCGAGAGACATGTGTTTCGGCGAGCGTAGCAAGAGCCGGTAGAGACTATCGACCAGTTTCATGTGCGCCTGCGGCAACTAGCCCTAACGTGCGAGCTTGCCGACGTGGAAGGAGAGGTCCTGTCACAGATTATAAAAGGCACCGCGTCGACCAAACTGAGAACAAACGCACTCCGTGAACAGGACATGAAGCTGGAGTAGCTATTGTTCGAAGGGCGCAGCCTCGAGAACGCCAAGAGACAAGACGCCGACATAGAGAGAAAAGTGTCGGTGCCGGTGAACAAGGTATCACCAAAGAAGGAACCGTGCCCAGGAAAATGTAGGAAAAAAAAGTCCCCCAGACGAAAACATGCACGTGTTGCGGGAGAGGGTGGCTACACGATGGAGGCAAGGAGAAGTGTCCAGCGTGGGGATCAACTTGCCACAATTGCAACAAGAGAAACCACTTCGCCAAGATATGCAGAACGCGCAAACAAAGAACAAGTCAGGACGGTTCAAGAACTGGAACCAACTCGGAGCGAAGACGCTTCTGGAGAATGGTACTACGTGCAGCAGAAACACTCCAAGATCCCCAGTGTGACTGTGGAAATAGAAGGAGTCGAGATCAAAGTCTACGTGGACTCAGGAGCTGGTGTTGACGTAATGGGAGAAACAATTCGGAGGGACAAGCTTAAAGCACCTTTGGGAAAGACAGACATTCACCTAGTGCCCTATGGAATGAAGCAACCTCTTCCAGTGGTTGGGGTGTTCAAAGCCAAGATGGAAGCTCGAAAGAACACCACCCACACGAGTGTATACGTCATCAAGGGGCATCATGCTTCCCTTCTGAGCTGCCAGACGGCAACAGGTTTGGGTCTCATTCACGTGCTGAATAGTATTGAAGAAAAGTCCCAAGTCGATCCTGTCAAGGAGTTCCCCCGTCTCTTCGCTGGATTGGAAAAACTAAAGAATTTCCAGGTCAAGCTCCAGATAAAGAAAGATGCGAAACCAGTCGCTCGCCCACACAGAAGAATTCCATTCAAGATGGGAAGAGGAACTGAAGACGAGCTTAAGAGACTAGAAGAACTGGACATCATTGAGCCAGTCAAATGTCCGACCCCTTGAGTTTCCCCTTTTGTGGTAGTACCGAAGCAGAACAACCCCCAAGCAGTGAGGATGTGCGTGGACATGAGAGAGCCCAACGTTGCTATAGAACGAGAGAGGCATGTCATGCCTACGGTCGAAGATGTCATAGGCATCCTGAATGGAGCCAAGTACTTCAGAAAACTTGAGCTAAATGACGGCTACCATCAGTTTGAGCTCGATGAACCATCAAGGCAGATAACCATGTTCTGAACACACAAAGGACTCAGAAGATACAAGAGACTTCCCTCCGGAGTAAACTCTGCAGCAGAAATCTTTCAAGACGTCGTACGACAAGTTCTTCCTGATGAAGAGGGCATAATCAATATCAGTCATGACATTTTGGTGTCAGGGCGAACAGTAGAAGAACACGACAACAGACTTCGCCTGGTTCTAAAGGCCCAGGATGCCAGACTGACCCTGGATGGAAAGAAGTGTATGATCGGTGCAAGCACTCTCAAGTTCTTTGGAAACGTGTTCTCAGCATCAGGCATCACTGTAAACCTAGCCAAGGTAGAAGTAGTGACTTGGATGGCCCCGCCGAACAATCCATCTGAGGTTTGAAGCCTATTAGGTATGTTCAGCTACAGCAGCAGGTTTATCCCAAGACTAGCGCAAATGGCCGAACCTCTTCGAGCGCTGACTCATACCAAGAAAGTCTTAAAATGGACCAAAGAGCACCAAGATGCTTTAGACAAGATCAAGATGGAAGTGGCTGCCAGCCATTCGCTCGACTACTATGACTACACCAAAGAGACACATCTCATCACAGATGCCGGTGCAAGTGGACTGGGTGCCATGCTTACTCAAGAATCAAGAAACGGAAAGCTCAGCATCCTGGCCTACTATAGCCAAGCGCTCACGCCGACAGAACTATGATATCCCCAGATCGACAAAGAGATGTTGGCAATAGTATTAACAGCGGAACATTTCAGGGTGTACCTAGCAGGAGGAGGCTTCACAATCGAAACAGGCCACAAGCCCCTAGTCTCAATTCTCCAGAATCCAAGTGCAAAGCTGTCAGCCAGGTTGGAACGTCTGAATCTGAGACTGCAGCAGTACAGCTACAAGGTAGAACACATCCCTGGAAAGAACAAACCCACGGACTACTTTTCAAGACACGTCCAAGACACTGACTTGGAGTCAAAAGAAAGCCGAGCCACTCGAGAATATGTTTGCTACGTGTGCACTATGGCTGTGCCAAAAGCGATGACTATGGTGGAGGTGGAGAAGGTCTATGATGGAGACCCACTCATGCAGAAACTGAAGAGCGCCATACTAGGAGAGGATAAAAGGGCGTGAGACAAGATGTGGGGAGAAGAGACATTAAGGCCTATCGTTCACCACCGTCAAGAGCTCACTGTCACAGACAACGATGTTATCCTGAGAGGCACGAGGCTAATACTCCCAGAGGCTCTACATCTGAAAGCGATAAAAATCGCTCACAGAGGACACCAAGGTGTTGTGAAGGCTAAGCATCTCATTCGAGAGAAAAACTGGTTCCCTGGGTTGGATAAGAAAGTAGAATCTGTGGTGAAGAACTGCCGAGCCTGTCAAAGCACAGTGTTGAAAGAGAAGCCACCACCACTCAAAATGACATATCTTCCTGCTGGTCCTTGGCAGGCGTTGGCAGCTGACTTTGCAGGTGCCTTTCAGGGAGGAAAGTATCTCCTGGTTGTAGTGGGTGAA